CTGAGAAGGAATTTTATTTCAAAAATTATTTTAAATTTATTTTTGATATATTTTATTTATTTTGTTTGAACTTGGAAAGAAGCTGACATTTATATATGGTACATTCAACATTCTATTAACTTTTTAACTTTACAACTTTTAATGGAATAGTTCATATTATTTAAAGAAGTATTGGTTTTAAAAAGAAATTATAATTCTCATTTGCTATAATTTACTACAAAGTTCTAAAAGAATTAGTGTAAATTTTTATTTGAATGTAGTTTTTGTTTTTGAAATTGTCTACTTTATTTTTAATCAAGTATTAACTTTTGCCACTAATAATGTAGTTATATTAAAAACAAAATTTTAATTTAATATAAATAATTTAAAAATAATATTGAGTACATGTAAGCACGGTTGCAACTTGAAAATTTTTTTCTGTACCAAAATTGGTTTAAAAAGGTACCATTTCTGTAAAAAAAGGTACAAAATTTTTCTATTGTCTTTTTATAAGAAAATACAATTTATATAAAATGTACAAAAAGTATAAAACAATACAATATCCACAATAAAGTTGGGTCGCCGAAAGTGTACCATTTTTTGAACATGAGTACCAGAGTACCAAACGGAAAAAAAGTACCAATTTTGGTACTAAAGTACCATAAGTGGCAACCGTGCATGTAAGTCTGTTAAGCTCTAATTGTTTATAAATATGTGTGTTCTATATTAAACTAAATGGGTTATAACAAGAGTAATTAAATAAGTTTTGAGAGTAATAAAAACTTTAATTGTTGAACTGTATGCTTATTACAGGAATAATGGGTGTTAATATGTTGAGGAAAGGATGATGTGTTCTATTGTACAATAAATCTTTGATAGGTAATTGTCAAGTAAGTCACGTCATAGTTTAGCAACATTAATTTTAAAAGAATATAAAGTAAGCATTGAATATAGGTCAGCATAACTACTTTCTACACTGAATCGTTTAGAACTCTCTGATGTTTATATTTCAGATTAAAACTGTGCCTATATATAAAACAAATTATATCGGTAAAGTCAGCTTTTAACAATAGTTTTTATATCAGTCATTAATTGTTGTGATGTATGTTAATTTTGGATGAAATGGGAATAATGTTAGTATTTACGAAATGTTGATTCTAAAAATTTAATTAATTATACAATTAGCATAATTATCTGTGTAAAATAAATTGCTAATAACATGGTTTAGTATTGATTTAATTACAATTAGTAATAATATACCTATATCCTTATACTTATATTCTCATACAGTAAGAGTAAGAGCCTTAAGGAAAACTCTTCTCAATGGTTTCTTCACATAGTTTTTTAAATTTCCACAAATTGTTTTAGATTTATAAGTCAATTCCTTATTCAGATATTTTCGTTCATTGTTATTATGATTTCATATTTATTATAATATAAGCTTAGAGTTTACGACGATTTACTATAGTCGAGATATTTCAGTTTATAAGTTATTTTAGGAGGAGATTACACGGTAGAGACAACTACTAATAAATTATGAACGCTTAACGTGAAATGAAGTTCTTATAAAGAATAGAGTTCGTCATATTTTTTTGTGGGCTTAGAACTACTATTGTCCTCTTCTACAAAAATCTATTGACAGTATTTCGACTAAAAATTATGAGCCCAAAATTATGAGACATTTTATTTTGACTAATGGATGTGGTCTTACGTCTGAACATGAATTTTACGTTTAACATGACTCGGGTCTCTGACAACGTGTATTTTGAATCTTGAGAAAACTTTCAATATTTATTGAATTAATGTTAATGAATTTTATAGAACTATATAGCTATTAAAATGTAACTATTATCTCAACTTATACAGGACATAGGTTAGCAATAATGTAACTCTCCAATCAATTACAGAGCACACATTATGGAATTAGATCAGAGATGCAAAGGGAACAAAAAGAATGTACAAATTTTTTATGGCAATAATAATTACTATTGCATTTTAGTGGCTATATAGTGACTTAAATAACTGAACTATCACTATAGCTATTAAAATTTCGTCAGGATGTGAACTTATATGAATATAAATATATAATTTGTTAAGAATATAATATATTATATAATTGTCGTTATGATATAATTTTATGAAAAAAAATTCTATGACTAACTATACTTCAACGGGAAAATCTATTAATATCAAAACAATTAATTTAATTGAAAATATGTTGATATGTTGATTTACTTTTTAAACTATTTGAAAAAAATAAGAGTTGAACATTTTGATGAAAGTATTCACATTTATTTATTTTTATAATATACATTTGAAAATATTGAAAATATTTATTTTATCTACGCAATCCAAACTGACAGTAACGGACCTAGCAGATAAACGAAATTTAGAAACCTTGATGACCAAGAGAGTGAAACGCATAGCTTGATTCGAAAATCGGCACTTCATCTCTACTAAATATTAAGCAATTAGATAAGATATATCCTCCCGAAATTGTAATCTTTGTTTATAATAAAAGAAAACTTCGCAAAAAATGGCAACAATCACGTTTAATACGAGATAGAAACAACCTTAATAATACTACTCAAAAATTAAGACAAGAAATCAGAAAACTCAAAAATGAAAATGTTAAGAAATATCTTAACAATTTGTCATATGACAGTAAAACTAATCATTCTCTCTGGAAAGCCATGAAAAAATATGACAGATTTCCCATAACCTTCCCTTAAGAAATGATATAAATAACTGGGCAAAAAGCGACGTAGAAAAGGCAAACGTACCAACTGAATACCTAAGCAATACCTTTAGTCAAGAAAAAACCGAACGCATAGAGCCAAATAACAACTTAGATAACGACGCTATTCCGCAAATAAAAAACAAAGAAATAATTACAGAAATCAAAAAGCTAAAGCTGAAAAAAACATCAGGGTACGACCTCATAGCTAGTGAAGTGCTAATGCAGCTACATCCAAAAGGAGTGGCTGAGCTTGCACAATTATTTAATGCGGGAATAAAATTAAAACAGGTCGCAAGCTACTGATAGTTCTAAAATCTGATAAGGATGAACATTCTCCAGCCTCGTATAGACCAATCCTGCTCCTGCCTATCATAGGAAAATTATTTGAAAAGCTCATTTGGAAAAGACTCGAAGAAACGGTTAGCCATAGCAATGTTATTCTAAATCATCAGTTTAGAATTGAAAAAAACATTTAACGATCGAGCAAGTACACAGACTTACGAATGAAATCGAAAAGACCTTAGAAATTTGCTTAGCTGTGTTTCTTGATATCTCAAACGCTTTTAATGAGGTCTGGCCTAATTTTTAAGTTTAACATTATTCTGCCAATACTGTAAACTGCTGGACTCGTATATTAGCGAAAGGTACTATCGAGTTAAACTACATGACACGTATTCACAATTATGTCCCATAAATAGCCGGGTCTCTCAGGGAAGTATACTAGGCCCGTTTTTGTGCCTGCTGTACACATATGATTTGCTAGTGACCTCAATATGTATTGTTGGAACTGTTGCAGATGACACGGTAATAATGACTATAGGTCCAAACAACAATGTGTGTACCACCAAGCTACAAACCGCTCTTCAAAAAGTTGAAGAATGGACTAATAAATGGAAACTGACACTAAATAGTCAAAAATCTAACCACGTCGACTTTACTAACAAAAGACAAAACCCAAATACAATTAATAGGAGGAGATTCCAATATTTCTATTGGGAGGAGATCCCAAGTATCTCAGCAAAACAAATTCATGAAGTATGGCGCCTGTGGCCCCAAATTTGGAGTTGTGTAAAAAATCATATATATAAATATTAAATAATAATTAATAAAGTTTAAATAATTATTAATTTATAGATGTGTATTTATGTGAATAACGTAGCTTTTTATTGCACACTTGAGAGTAAAACATTTAATACATATAGGATATTTCTCCAGACTTTTGTGTAGTGCTGTTAGCTGATAACTCCCTATTGAAATTATCCTAAACTTTCACATTTGGAAAGTATTTCATACGCAAAAAGAAAATATTTTTATAAAGAAGAACTGTCAATTCTGTTTTGGCTTCCACAGTAATGAACTATATTTCAGAGGTACTCTGTGTAGTAGAGAACTCTATGAGGGAACAATATAACATGCATAGAAAAATATTAGGAGGAGAAAAAAACTTTACTAATACGACATTATATTTCTACTTCTTTTCGTATAAGATTGAGGAATTTTCGAATGTTGATAATTGCCAAATGGATAAGCACTGGGTCTTAACGCACCACAAAACGAAATGGAGTTTTATGTTTTTTTATAAAAAGTAACTAAATCAGACATTAAAAATGTATTTATTAGAAAGTAGTATATTTACTTATAGATATTTTTCGAAGTACAATTTAAAGACAATTAAAATATAAATATTGCTAATATGGTCTTAGTCACTCCAACTGGCAACAGCGAACCACTTATCGAGCTGGCTGACAGACACTACTAAACGCTATGAAGGACGATTCATATATGTAATAGCCAACTAAAAAGAAGGAGACTCGTCATAATCTACCGTAAACTTAAATGACAATCTACGAACTGGAGCTAAGAGTTCTGTTTTGAAAACATTTTTACCTGTTAAATGGAAAGATGATAAATAGTAAATAATGATGCTGATAGCATAGACATCCCACAAGACTTAAACCACAATTGTAGGCATGAGGATTCGATGAAAACTAATGTTTTAGTACTATACGTAAATGAAAAATATGAGTTTTTAAACATTATGAAGACACTGTTATTTAATACAAAAACAAAGAAATGCATTTTATAAATTGTGTAATCCCATAACTTGGCAGCATTGACTGCGCCAAACCAAAACGATTAGGGACACTTAACGTTCATAATCGGTTTATTTTCTATGTGACCTTTCAGTCGTCCCTTTTTGCGCTTAACATCAATTATACTCTCAATCCACAAGTCACAAGCACATGATTTTTATATTTTTCATATAAATTTTTCATTCCAGACACAAGCTACTCATACCATCCTGCCATCCACGATGAAACATTCGTACGGAGAAAGCAACGCCGCAATCGCACTACTTTCACCTTGCAACAGGTAAGCACAGTTTCGTAGGAATATTGTAATGAAAAAATATCTCTAACTCATATCCTTGTAAGTGTAAAAAAAATTTGTTCATAAACTCTTCTTTTTGCGGACGGATGTATTCATGCAAATTTTAGGCGTTAAACATTTTTATATTTGTGTATTTGCGATTCTTACAGTTGGAGGAACTAGAGACTGCCTTTGCCCAGACCCATTATCCTGATGTTTTTACACGTGAAGACCTCGCTATGAAAATTAATCTTACGGAAGCACGCGTACAGGTGAGTGATTTTCAAATCTTTTACAGTACATAACTTAAAAAATGCATACTAAGTTTGTTCTGAAAGATGTTTGAGCGATAGTAAAACATACACTTCAGAGTAAATAAAAGCTAGATGTAGTATATTATATATTAAATATGCCAACAGATTTTAATAGCACTTATATTGACTAAATGAAATTTTAACCAAAATGTGTACAACACACACTCACGCTTACTATAACATTATTAGAAACTATTAAAAAATAATTTTAGGTTGAAATAAGTGCAACTAGAGATTCTTGAAGTCTCTAGTTTTATATTTTCGAATCTGAATCAGCATTTAGCGACCAAACAATAGTTTCATACAATAATTCCAGAGCTTATAGTCAGGTAACGTTAATGTAAATCTGGTTCGTGCTTATTTATATCACCCAGAGTTAGAAGTATACATAGATTTGTAGTGGGTATTATGTATGTTCCCAACACTTCTCATATCTTCATCACTTTGAAGGTATAAGATCTTATAAGCTAGATTTTAAAAATTTTATTTTAGTAATTTTTTTCTGCAGTTTAAAACGTTTTTAATTAAAATTAAATTTAATTAAAATGAATTTTATTAAAAAGAATTTAGCTGAAGCCCTGACGCTTGGAATCCAAAAACTGAACTAATAGATATTAACAAAGACCACCGCTGATGAATATTTGGCAGTATCCACTTCAAGAAGATAGATTTTTTATCATAGGACATAAAATCTCTGAAAAGGATTTATGTATAGATATTTGATTTGAAATATTCTAAAAATGTGATTGAATAAAGTTATTCCCTTGAAAATATTTATCATCGATGCTGTACACATAAAATTAATTATACGAGCTCTGTGAGATCGCCAGGTTTAGAACAATTTCGAAAATTTTCGCAGAATGCAATGCGGTTTTGTGAAAAATGAGTGTGGTTTTCATTTACTGATGCTGCTTTGAGCACTCGTCTACTGTACAGGAAAACCGCAGCTATCATATTACAGGTCACAGGCGGCTCTCGTCATAAATTTTATTAAGAAATTCACTTCAATTTCATTCATGTGCCCCGGAGAAATTTCCATACGGGTACAATATTCTAAGCATAATAATTTTATTTTATTACATTTTTCATGTGTTTTTTTTCTGTTTTTGCCTCTTCGAGAATACCAACCAACATGCCGAGAATACCAACCAACAACACAGGTTGCGCGTCTATTCACGGTTACTTCCAGTGGCGCACCCTCGTCAATGCTAGCAAACGTACAATTTGGCACTTATTCCATTATACGATTCTGTTTATTTCCCATTCCCTTTAAGGAAGCTGGTATGTGTAAGTTATTAACCAGTTGGCATTCGCTTCTAGAACCGCTCCTTGCTCAACACCACTCTCTGACTCACTGCTTCCCACCACTTGAGCATGTAGTGTGTGCCTATGTGTCTATAATGGTTTTCAGGTCTAAAGGTCTGTCGCAGCAATGGATTCGTTTTCGGATTTTGATATGATTTCACTTAAATTGAAATTTACTAAATGTTTTTGTGGTTTTGGATTTCTTCAGTTTTTCAGTCCTTTAGTCTTCATTTTTTATTTTTCTTTTTTTTTCGCTTTCTATTTTTTATTTTCTACTTTGCTCTTTTTAGTCAACTTGACATGAGTTAATTCGAGCACTTTGCCATGTAATTGCCGGAGTTGAGCGTACGTTCGATGTTGCAGTGCATGGGATGGGATGATGTGGTGTCGCTGAGGAGAGATTCGTTGTATGGGTGGTAGTTTTGTGTGCGAATATTTCTTTAGCAGCACATCAGGTTGTTTTCAGGTTAGAATGACAAGTACACGTGTATGACAAATGTAAATTGACGTTTGATTGTTGTGTTTGTTTAAATTAAATTCAAAGTATCGAGTGTCAAAATTATTGTTTCAATTACGTTAAAGTTTCACTTTATTTTTGTCTCTGTATACTTACTCCCATTCCAACTGTGTGAACTTTGAAGAATTCTTGCAAAAATCAATATATTTACTAATACTCGACATTCATATACATTCACAGCTAAAATGTCAATCATAAAGAACATGATGAAGACGGTGAACAACGTCTTCAATGTATTACCAGATACATGACATTAAGTTGTTGACGTTTAAGACGCTATCATAGAAGATGTCTTCTAAATTAAATTGATTGTATTGGAACCATTGAAAAAAAATTATTTTAGTATTACAAATTTTACATTGGAGGCTTATTATAAAAAAATATTTCTTCTTATTTCACAGAATTTTCACATCATTTGCCTCTACTTGGATTGTTTTCTTCTGTATTTGACTGCCGGTAGTTCTTTCGAAATACCTATAGGTTGTTCACCGACGCAATATACCGATTTGTGTGCGAAGAACACCTGGTGGTAAGCTTTCACGACAGGTATCCACGTAAAATTCTGGACCTTCATGGCGATAGTTCTTTTTCTGTTTTTTTCACTAATATTGTTTAATACTAACGCTTTTATGTGTTAGTATACATGTTAGTAAGTTGTAATTGTGAAGTTTTATTTTCTTCTTCTTTTTCTGGATATTATATCTTCAGCTATCAGTATTTTTTTCGGCTTTTTCACAATTATTCTTTTTTAATATGTATAGACTATTTTGTGCTAGTATATATATATCAGTAAGGTTTAAAGCTCTGTTAGTCGGTACGTACCGTAAGAACTTAAACTAACTTAAGCCAAAGCGAAATGCAAAACCAACCATACCTGTATATTTGATAGGAACTTAATAAACAAAGTTTAAAATTTGTTTACTTTGACTTAAGTTCTTATGGTGCGTACCGACTAACTGAGCCTTTCAGTCTTGATCGGAAAGTATTGCTTATTTCTTCTTCTTTTTTTTCTATCTTCAACTGCTAGTAGCTTTTTTTGGTTCTTCGCTATTGTTTTCTTAATATGTATAAGCATGTAAGCGTTAGAATAAATGTCAGTTAAGTTTAAGTATTGATTGGCTGGTTGATTTTTTTTTGCAGACCTCAATTAGCGATTTTTCGTCGTTTTGCTACCAGATTCCTTGCAAGGAATCTTACGACATTAAAAGACAAAATACATCCATCTCGTCAAACTTAGAAAATTTAAAAAGACATTCATAATTACCGTTGAATAGTCTGGCATGCAGTCAAAATAGTACTTCCCTAAAAGCATATTTCTTCTAAAGGCCAGAGCCAAACATTCACAGAGAAAATGCTTAGTGGTTTCTTTTTCCTGTAAATTTCCACAATTTTTGCAATAAATATTAAAAGCAATGCGCATTTTCTATGCATTTGTTGCTATACATCAGTGACCAGAAAGAACTGCAGTAAGTATTGCAGTATTGCCGCGGCTCCACTTAATGAGTTCCAAAAGTCTGGTTTTGTCCTAAGTGTCTTTTATTTGTTTTTGGTAAGTTTGCAGTCGGGCCGTTAAATAATGTGTGGAAGTCTAACCAAAGAAGTACCCGTAGCTTTGAATATTTTACACTAACGTCAACTCAACATTGTACTACGGATGCGAAACATGGAGAAACACGGCTTCTATTCAATCGCGTATCCAAATATTCATAAACAAATGCTAATGAAGAATACTGTAATGATGGTGGTCGAAGCGTATATTGGATATGTTATCTATGGGAACACACGAAACAAATACAAGCACAGCGTCCTGTATAACAAGACAAATCCTACGTTGGAAAAACCGTGGAAGAACCCTCCACAGCTAAGACATGGCGAAAAACCGTAGACCAGAAGCTTAAAGACGCACAGTACTCCTGAAATCAAATTGCAGGAGAAGCAGGCAACAGAGTAAGATTTAGAGGAATCGTTGAGGTATTATGCTTTACTATGAGAGAAGGACAGCAGTAAGTAAGTAACGGCTTGTGTTTCAACTTCGGTAACTTTATTGGGGACTTTATTACCGATGCCCATTTTGTCAGCAGTAGTTGTTGGAAGAGGGAGGAAGAATATGAACTTTTTTTGCAGGATAACTGAAGCAACCTAAGATGAACTTATAAGTATTAGACATTTTCTTATTAAAGTTATTTATAAAAATCCAATATAACGAATAAGGCGGATTAGCAGGATAGTAAGAGTAATACTAACTAAATATGATGGTAAAAATAACTAAAATAAATACATTTCCATATTTGTTACTTTATGTATACCACATAATGAGAAGTATTCCGGAAATAACACACTCTAGCTGAAACAAAAGTGTTGAAATTTTCAGAAAAACTCAAGTCACAGTAACTCGCAGGTGCTATGGCAAGTGAATTTAGTTTAGTGAGAAAGAAGAGTAGGAATATATTAAACGAGTGCAGGATATTTGTATAAACCTATGATGAGTACAGATACAACAATCTACTTATTACAGTCATTACATGTTTCTATTCCAGTCTTGAGGCGATTTGTTATTGTCAACGCTGTGGTTAAGATGTTGCAATTAATCTTAACATATAAATTTTGTAAAAAAAGGATAATTTGCTTTGTCTTTTATTGCATCACCACTAGAACAGTTTAACTACTGAAAAGCTCAAGAGTTAGTTCCTCAGGAAACGACGTGCAAGAGTGCAAAAAATTAGTTAAGAGTCACTTTTGCAGACGTGCTGAGATAAGATGCTTACAGTGTCAAATTAACATCTGCACTAGCCTTAGCATTAGTCTGTGCACTAACCTAACATAAATTTACACAGATCTAAACATGCTCCACCTACACTCACTCACCATTTGCCATCATATGCCATCATATCCCATCATATGCCTTCATATGCCATCGTTTGCTAGCACTCGACTCAGCTTTCTTGCTGCGGAAATCATATAATTTGAGCTATATGAAAATGTGCTAAGTGGGCGCAAGCAATAGGAAAAGTATCCGCTCATTTGCACCGCTTAACCAGACAGACGTGTGCGGATTCTTCTAATGCCGCATCAAAATCAGTTGTCGCAATGCTGTCGTTGCGGGCTTAACGAGGATGACCTTTGAAATTAAAGACAA